CCTTCAATCTTTGTTTCAAACTAAACAAACATCTGAATGTCCGCTCACCTGGGATCTGTGGATTATATAGAGTATTTTAAGTTGCAGCCAGAATTTTGGATTTGAGGGGATTATTTTCCCAAAAATCTCTTTTCAAGCAGCTCTTCTGGCAGTGACTCAGCCGACATCATGCTGCCACCACCGTGCTTTGGCAGTAGCTGCAGCATTTTCCACTTATAACTGCTTACTACTTACTTTGAGAATATATTTCACCTCAAAAGCTCTTAGCAAGTGCAAATCTTCTTCTTCTTAAAGAGCAAAGACTCTGCTCTTGTTTTGTAAATAAACTTAAATACAATTTTTAAAAGGATTTTTGCTCAGACTGTAAGACTGCTGTTAGAATGAAAATCAACTGTAAACCTCTGCAAAATATGAACGAACAGTAAATCTGTTTTTATCTAAATGAGTGAATTTCTACTTGATTTGAGAAGCTAAGTAAGAATATAAAAACACCAAGTGTTTTTTAGGAGGAAAATACCTCATATTAGGGCAAACACACCTATTTTAAGACACTTTAGATCAGTTTTTGCAGCTCAGCTTCAATTAGAGGAGAGGTATACAAAAAACTCAGAGAAGTAAGGTGAAGGTAACATATTTATTCATATTATTACAGAATAAAAAGAGTAGAAATATATTTAAAAGTTAAGCTGATTTTTTTATGCTTTGTACGGTGATGTCAGACGCCGTTCTGCAGGATCAAAGGTCATTTCAAGAAAAAAAGCAGCTCAGCACCTCATGACAAACTCAGCTCCCATTTAATCCCCTTTATCAGCAGTTACCCAACAATCTGCAGCAGCTCCTGATAAACTCGTCACACATCATCATTCATCCGATCGGCTCGTTTGTCTTCACGTCTCTCTGATTATTTCTGCATGTCTTTAAGCTTCTTAGTAAAAAAAAAAATATTCTTCTTTTATTTTTTTTACATTTTCACAGCAGTATGCAAGGTTGGACATTCATAGCATCGCTATGGCAACCTGCATTTCTGTCTGCTTTTTGAAGTCTTTATATTGTGCGGCGCTCCTTCAGGAACAATAAGAGTAATAAAAGCAGCACAAAGAAAATCTCTGCCTGAGTTCATTTCTGAAGCTGCGTTTGGCTCCATGAGGCAGCCGCAGGAGAAGGCTGCTTGTTTCCAGTCCTAAAAATCATTTCTTTAACTCTTTTATTTTAGCTGTGATCCAGCTGATGTGTTAATCGTAACGTAACCCACCGAGAATCAGATCCTACTGCTATATGGTCTGATAGATTATGAGGAACAAGAAGAAAGGGCTTTATACAGCTTTGGGAAAAAACATAACAAACAATTAAATTAGCATTTATTTAACTTTATTTAGAAAATTTATTTTCTTTTTATCCAAACCTTCATAAAGTGTACCTGGCAGAGGAATGAACAATATGTGTTATATTTTAAGGATTGAGATTATCAGCACTTCATTTGTATTATCTCATTATCTCTCAACTATTTACGTTAAAAAAAAATAATAATTTTAGGCTGTGAAATAGCTAATTAAAAAGCTCGTCATAAAGTCACTCTTTGTTTTAATTCGGCTACATTAAGCAGCAAGGTTTAGGGAAAAAATGTCATCAGTTAATTCATTCATCTAACGATTTATCTTTTTTCACTTTAATCTTTTGTTCTTCCATATGTTTATGTTTATTAATTTATTATTTATTTTCTCGTATGGCACGTCGTCACAGCTGCTGTTTTCTTTAAAGGTCTTTATAGATAAAGGAGTCTAAGACTAATTATTAACTGATAAGCGGATATTTTCCTAAAATCTTTCAAAACCTAAATATTTTTACGATATGCTGAGTTTAAAAAAAATAAAGCATTTATTTATTTTTATATCTAAAATAGTTAATCTGCCAGTTGTATTCACTTCTGACTGGATGGACAGAAAAATGTTTTTATACATATTTTTGAATTGATTTCTAAAATATATTTAAAAAAAAAACAGGAATTAAATATGAATTAAATATGAATTAAATAACGTCAAATTCAATTCAATTCTGTTTATTTCTATAGCGCCAATTTACAACTTTCCAGTTCACCAGATCATCCAGTAAAATTGATTCAAAGTGTTTTATCTAAGGAAAACCAGTTTATTGCATCGACTCAAATACAATCCCTCACACTAAGCATACTTGTAGCGACAGTGGAGAGGAAAAACTCGCTTTTAACAGAAAGAAACCTCCAGAAGATCCAGGCTCAGTGTGAGCGGCCATCTGCTGAGGCCAACTGGGGTTCAAGGAGACAGAAGCAGACATAGAAAAAGAAGCATAGATACAAAAGGAAACACACAGCCAGGCAGACCAGCTCCCATGTCAGAGGATGAAGAGAGCACATCCAGTTAGTCACAGTCAGAGAAACAGGACTACACTGGAAAACAGGCCAAGCTCCAACATCTAGAAACAAAGGTGTTGGTGGCAGCAGCACAGCTGATATTTCTCTCCAGGATGGAGTCACAGCCAAACAGGAACAGACCAGATGAAGCTACATTAGAAATTGAACTAACAGATTCTGCAGAGTGGGAGAATAGAGATAGAATGAAGCAGAATGAACAGAGATGTAAAAACTACCATTTACAGACAGGCAGTGGTGGAAAGTAACAAACAACAATTACTTGATTACCATACTTAAGTACTTTTTTGAGTATCTTTACTTGGTTTTTTTTAGCTAAGCTTAGCTTTGCAATCCGCTGTTGCATTTTTTATTTCTTGAAATCAAATTTCATCGTGGCAGAGAGAGCAACCTTTAGGACTGAATGTGGACGACCTTGTTTTAGAGATTTTAATGCCGTTCCACAAATGTGAGAAACTCTGGGCAGATATTATTTTTTATTTATACATTTTATTAAGGCGTTAGTTTTTGCCATGTAGCCTGGTTGTTCAGTAGAATGAGTCTCAAATTAGAGTTATAGTTTCTTCGGTAATAGATTCAACCCTTAAAACTCTATTCCATAGGAGGAGAATAAAGACTCTGACACTTTGTTTTAAATAAGAAATAAAAATCAAAATAGCTGTCCTTGTTTTTTTGGTTTTTTTGTTTCACTTTTATGCTGAAGTTCTTTCCAGGTGGTGTAGAATCTATAGCAGGTGGTTCTACGATCAATACATCAGGTGGTTTCTGAAAGTTACAAGGTTCTTTAAAATTACTCTGAAGATTATAAAGAAAGTTACTGATATTATATAAAATAATTAGTACTTTTAAATATTTAAATACCTTTAAATGCATGTACTTCTGAAAAATTATGTTTTTTATTTAAAAGGGGGTAATTCAATGGTCTAACTGGAGAAGATGTTTGACCAAATAACTTAATTGAATAATATTTGATTACCAAGTTCTACTATTGAGTACTCCGTCCACCTCTGACATACTGTCGGACTATTTTCTACTTCATTTTAATGAATTGGGCACTATCTGTGCTACAGATCTCTGTTTTAAGTGTAATTAACCAATCAGTGCTGGGAGCGATGTTGTGCTGTTAGCAGTGATTTTAAACAGGTGGTTCTGGTTCCTCTTGGACGAATGTTAAAGCTGGGCTCCTTGAAGTGCTTTAACTTCCCCATCTAGGTTCTTGCAAGTATTTTTTCTGTCATGTTAGAAATGATTTGCATAATGCCCTCCACTTTCTTTACTAATCCTCCGCACAGCAGAGAAGCTTTGCTGCTTCTCCATGCGGCACGGCTAAATGGGCG